AATATTCTAATAACTATATATGGGGTCAGATATGTATGAGATTTATCAGGATGATCACTTGGTAAGTTATATAATGTCTAATAACTGGGGTGTACACTTGAAACTAATATAATATTAGATGTCAACTGTAATTAAAAAGTAATACGTGATTTTAAAAAATAAGAAATAAATTAAATTTAAAAAGAAGAGAAAAGAAAGATCAATTAGGCAGTCTTTCTTGCTCCTTGATGGTAGAAGAAATGCAATCCCTGATCCTTCCCTGTTACTTCTGACTTAAATGATCTATAACATTAATTTTACTTTGCTACGTTCTGTTACTATAGGTAATAAGTATAAGTTTCTATTCATTGGCTCTCAAAGTGAAATGAACGAAGAACATTACCAACATTCTGATGACATGCCCATAACCTCCCCAGAAAGACACAGAAACCTCACCGTGCGGTGAAGCACCCAGGTGACCCCTGTGCTATCTGAATGGGGTTGTTTCAGGCTTCACAGTCACATAGTTCTCTTTCTTTACCGTCCTTCAATTACTCAACATCATGACATATTTTCGTTGGCTTAATATTTGACCGTGCCTTTCTTGTTTAGCAATTTGTTTTTTCCAGAATTTTTAATTGCCTTTGAAAAATGTATTCAAAGATTTTTTTCTTTATCATATCGCTAGTCGTAGAGCTTCCTTTTTTATTTTTTTCCATTTTTTAAAAGTATTTTTATTTATTTATTTATTTATTATTATTATTTTTTTTCCACATCTTTATTGTTGGATGTAAATGTATTACAGATGTTCCACATTTTTCCCCCATTGACCCCCTCCTCCCCCCTCCCACCTTTTCCCAAACTATTGTCTGTGTCCATTGGTTATGCATATAAGTTCTTTGGTTTATTTCTTCCCACCCCCCAACCCCTTTCCCTTTGAGGTTTGTCAGTCTAGCAATGAATTTGTGCTTCTTAATCCCTTCACCTTTTTCATCCATTCCCCCAACCCCCTTCCCAACGGGCAACCAACAAAATGTTCTCTGTATCTATGAGAATGTTCCTGTTCTTCCTGTTCATTTTGTTTGTAGATTCCATTGTTGATAGATATGTATTCATTGCCATTTTGTTTGTTCATACATTTTATCTTTTTCTTTAAAAAGACCCTTCATCATTTCATATAATAACGGTTTGGTAGTGATGAACTCCTTTAACTTTTTCTTGTCTGGGAAAGTTTTTATATGTCCATCGATTCTAAATGACAGCTTTGCAGGATAGAGTAATTTTGGTGGTAGGTTCTTGGTTTTCATCACTCTGAATATTTCTTGCCACTCCCTGCTGGCCTGCAAAGTTTCTTTTGAGAAATCAGCTGACAGCCTGATGGGAACTCCCTTGTAGGTAACTAGCTGCCTTTCTCTTGCTGCTTTTAAGATTCTCTCTTTGTCTTGAACCTTTTGCATTTTGATGATGATGTGTCTTGGTGTGGGCCTCTTGGGGTTCATCTTGTTTGGGACTCTCTGTGCTTCCTGGACTTGTATGTCTGTTTCCTTCACCAAGTTAGGAAAGTTTTCTGCCATTATTGTTTCAAACAGGTTTTCGATTTCTTGTTCTCTCTCTTCTCCTTCCGGCACCCCCAAGATGCGAATGTTGGCACGCTTGAAGTTGTCCCAGAGGCTCCTTAACTATCCTCATTTTTTTGGATTCTTTTTTCTTTTTGCTGTTCTGATTGGGGATTTTTTGCTTCCTTATATTCCAAATCGAAGGTTTGCTCCTTGGATTTACGTACTCTATTATTGAAGCTATGTAAATTATTCTTTATTTCAGTTAAAGCCTCCTTCGTTTCTAACTGTGCAGCGATCATTTCTGACTGGTCCTTTTTTATGCTCTTGAGGCCCTCACTGAGTTCATTGAGCATCCTTATAAGCCGTGTTTTGAACTCAGCATCTGTTAGGTTGCTTATCTCCATTTCGCTTAGTTCTTTTCTTGGGGTTTTGTTCTGTTCTTTCATTTGGGACCTGTTTCTTTGTATCCTCATTTTGGCTGCCTCCCTGTGTTTGTTTCTGTGTATTACTTAATGAGAGGTATGGGGCTCGCTGAGAGCTGATGCTGCTCGTTTGAAAGAATTTAGGAAAACCTGAAGCAGGATCCAAGACAGGGCAATCCTATGGTTAAGCAAGTAGCAACAGCTTGGGTGGGCTTGAAAGTTGTGTGGGGCGGTGTGGGGCGGTGTGGGGCGGTGTGGGGCGGTGTGGGGCAGGGCCTCAGGGAGTCAGCAGGGCGGGGCTACCAGTGTGAGCCAGGTTGCTGGAGTCCCAGATGTGGCGACTGTCTGCCGCCCCAGGGAAGGGCTCACCAAAGGAACAAAGGCCTCTTACAGCATGTTTGTCCCCGAGAAAGCCCCCTCTCTAGCCCTCGCTCCAGTGCCAAACAGCTCAGTTCTTCCCTGTATGTCTCTGGTGCCCCTCGAGCTGCCTCCCCTCCGAGCTCAGAGGGAGAGAGTCCGATAAGTCCCTGCGCCGGCCCTTTAGGGAGCTGCCTGGGGCTCCAGCCAGGTCAGCTTCCCTGAGCCTCAGTTTCTGCTGGTTTTTCCAGCCAGAAGTTATGGGGACTTCTCTTCCTGGCACTGGAACCCTGAGCGGGGCACCTGGTGTGGGACGGGGACCCCTCAGTCCTCAGGAAGGACCTTCCCAGCCGCGGGAGCCTCCTGATTTTTATCCGCCACACGTGGGTGTGGGACCAGCCCGTTGCACCGCCGCACCGCTGCCGCCACCCCTCGCGCCGCCGCCCCTCCTACCGGTCTGGATGTAGGTGCTTTTTTTTTTTTTAATTCCATAGTTGTAGGACTTCCATTCAGCTTGATTTCAGGAGGTTTTGGATGATGGTTGTTCTGTAGTTTTGTTGTAACTTGGATGTGGTTGTGGGAGAACGCGATACTGCGTTTCCCTACACCGCCATCTTGACCGGAAGTCGTAGAGCTTCTTAATCTGACTTTTCTAAGAAATGAAATCCACTTTCTTCTCAGACCCTTCTTACTTCCTCCTCTAACTTGAATGGATTACCTCCCAGTTTCTTACACAATCGTTCCACCTGTCCTCCTGGGATCATTTCACTACTCACCTGGGTTAGTTCAGCTGTTTTTTTTTCTCTTGCTTTTGTTAATCCTCACCTGAGCATAATTTTCTATTTATTTTTATATAGAGTGAAAGGGAAGGGGGAGAAAGAGAGAGAAATGAAACATCAATGTGAAAGACACAACCCTGACCAGGGCCGAGGATTGAACCTGCAACCCAGGTACGTGCCCTCCAACCCTTTGGTCCTCAGTTAGGCTGATGCTCTAACTGCTGAGCATCAGGTGCTTCTTTGACTAGCTCAGCTCTATTTTTTTTTAGATTCCTTTTCTGTTTAACTGGATTACACCTGCTGCCTCCCCACCCCTTTTTTGACCAGAAAGGAGGTAATTTTCTGTTCCTTTGAATGTCTGAAATTGCTTTTATTTGGAATAGAATTTTAAGTATAAAATAGTTTTCCTTAAGCAATTTGAAGGCAATTATTTTATTGCCTGCTAGTATTGATATCACTTATCTGATAACAGTGATTCCTGATTCTTTGTTGACAATCTGTCTTTTCTCTCCAGAAGCCCTAGAATTTTCTCTTTGTTCTTGATGTTCTGAAATTTCAAGAGGACATGCAGCTGTAGACCTTCTTTCACTCCCCTGCTCAGTTCTCAGTTGGTTTTTCCATCCCAGGGTCTATAACTCATTTCAGCTTGGTCAGTTTTCTTCGATCATTCCTTTATAATTTCCTCCTCTCAAATTTCTTTGTTCCCTTTTTCTGAGTGGACAAATTTGAGTGGATATATACTGAGAGCCTTAGATGGATGGTCTATGCCTGTCACCTCCACCTTTTTAAAAAAATGTTTTTATTGATTTTTAGAGAGAGAAGAAGGGAGAGAGAAACATTGATGTGTGAGAGAAACATCGACTGGCTGCCTCCTGCACACCCCCTACTAGGGATTGGGCCTGCACCCCGGGCACGTGCCCTGGCTAGGAATCGAACCGGTGACCTTTGATGCATGGGATGACGCTCAGCCAACTGAGCCACACTGGCCACAGTGCCATCTCTTTTTAAATCTATATTATGAGATACTGTGACTTTTCCTTTGAGTCTTTCAATTGAATTTTAAATTTTAGACATTGTGTTTTAATTTCCAAGAAATATTTCTTGCTCTATTCCTCTCTTCATAGCAGCCCTATCTTTCTTCCTTTTTTGTTAATCCTCACCTGAGGATATTTTTCCATTGATTCTTTAGATAGAGTGGAAGGGAGGGAGGGAGAGAGAAGGAGAGTGGGAGAGAGAGAGAAAGAGAAAGAAAGAGAGAGAAAAAGAGAGAGAGAGAAAGAGAGAGAAGCATCAATGTGAGAGAGACATATGATTGATTGCCTCCTGCACGACCCCAACAAGGGCCAGGGATTGAACCTGCAACCAAGGTGCATACCCTTGACCAGGAATTAAACCTGTGACCCTTCAATCTGAGAGCTGATGCTCTAACTGCTGAGCCAAAGCAGCCAGGGCATAGCAGCCCTTTCTTATCTTATGGAAATGTTATCTTCTCAAGTATTTCTAAGGGTTTTTATTAGAATTAAATTGTTTTCTTTTTTTTCATATCCTCCAGGGTTAGTTATTCTTTTTGTTCATCTTGTTTCTTCTCTTTTATGCTCTTGGTTTTCTCCAAATGGTGCACGCTCCCTGTCTGTCCAGTGCATCTGTATCTGACGAGGTTCGTTAGTGCAGTTGGCAGCCACCAGTTTCCTCGGCGGCAGCGTAGGTCTCTCCCTGCAGGAGGGTGGTGCCTGTGGGGAGGAGGGTGCACGGGTGGGGAGTGGGCAGGCAGACAGGCTACCCTGCCCAGTCCTCCTGGACTTTCAGTTCCTTGAGGTCAGATCAGCACCATATAGTTTCCTCAACTTAGTTCTCAGGAGGACCCTGAAGAAGACAATTCTTAACTAATAAAAACAAAAACAAGCAGGTGATTTAAGGGAGAGCTTATGGGACCAAAACCAGGAGTTCTTAACTCTGTGGCCTAAGACTGAGTTTCTCTATAGGATGCAATAGACACTCAATGGTGCTGTGTTTTCCTGAGGAGATACAAGATTTAAAAAGATAGAAGAAACAAACAAACAAACAAACAAACAAACCCCCAAGCAATCAACCCTTACTGTCCGTTAAGGGCCTGCTCTGAGCCAGGTATTTGGTAGTTGCTTTATTTCATTTGTCTTACTTAATTCCCCAAATGGCCCTATTTTTTTATTCTAAAGACGAGGAAACAGACACAGAATATAAGACACCTGCTCAAGTTCACACGTGGGGGAATTGGCAGAGCCAGAAGAGCCCAGTTCCTGGCGGCCACACAGACCGGCCACGCACCCTGCAGGAGTGGCCACTACGAACCGCCCCCCACAGGCCCCCTCCGAGCTAAGCGATTCAGATTCACAGCAGCGAGAGTTCATGCAGTATGGTCTCCAGTGTGATTGGAGCAGAAACGCCTCCTGTTTGGACGAGCAGCCCTGCGGCAAAGCCTCCGTAATAGCACGGCAGGGAGGTGGGTGTTCTGGTTAACCCGAAGTCCTGGCTCCGAACGAGCTCCCAAGGAACACCTGACTAGAAAGAACTGAGACCCCTCCGTGAGCCCCTCGCAAACAGCACTCTGGGCTTCAGCGCCAGGCCTCTGCACCCCATGGACTCCTGAGCCCCCCAGCACCAGAGGGCAGAAATCCACACTGCATGGCACACACAGCTGGTCTTGCTCTGATGACCCAGGTCAGAGCCTTCATTAGTAACATCAGCAGTGGCAATGTCACCTGCAGAGGGCCTGGTTCAGAGGCTGTCACAGGCGGGCGGCCAGCCACCTGAGCACCAACCCTGATTCAGCCCTTCGGTGGAAGGCCCTGCAGCTTCTGGAGAAAATGAGCCATTAAGAACTGTCAGCCCCACCCCAACCAGGGACACACCCTACAGACCCAGGGACTTCCTGTCAGCAACAAGCATAGAGCACCTGTGACCAAGGTGTTCACACAACAACCAAGAGGGCCTGGTGGGTTCATCGTGGACTGAGAGCTGCCACAATGACCCTGTGTCAGGATGGGGAGCCCTTTCCTGCTCTGCAGCTGTGAGTACCCTAAAATCAGTCCGTGCATTGACTTACTGGGAATCGCAGCAGCGGTCCGAGGCAAATAGTGTGGGGTGTTACCCCCATATTTCATATAACCAAGCTGAGGTTTGGAAGTGAGTGTATTAGTCAAATTCTCCCAAGGGCATAAAAGAGTAGCTTAGCAAATTAATTTTCTTTACTAACTCAATTTTTAAATTTAAATTACACTTTGATCTAGAAACTTGCCCTAGGTGCCAGTGGTTATTTGACAGGGAAAATCTTGTTCTAGAAAAGATCTCAGATGGCTTCAACTTCCTCGAAATGTGCTCATGCCTGAGCTGACCCTGGGCAGCTTTCTGGTTCCTCCACTGGTCTCATCTTCCCTCCCCCCGAGGTCCCAGCCCTGGGCCCTTCCAGGCTTCTTCCCCGCATGTCCTGCTCACAGGACTCGGACTCCCTGCAGGCCTAGAACTGAATGGATACATTCTGCAAATGGGGTGACCCCCTCCCTAGGGCTTGCAGAAATCCCTCTAAAGACCTCCCAGGAGAAAGGCAAGAGCAGACCCTGGTGCCAGGGAGGGGGCTGAGGGGAGTTTCCCTGTAACCACCTTCCCCTCCATCAGCAGCGAGGCGCCTGGGGGTCTCTGCCCCGGGCCACTCTCCCCAGGCCCACCCTCGTCATCCTGCCCCACCCTTCGTCCTGTCCTCCCCACCCCCACCCGCGGTCCACTCTGTTTTATGAATGCGTGGAACGTGGAATCACTTATTCTGAGAAGATGGAATGTGTTTGCTGCAGCCGGTGACAGCAATGAATTTTACAAATAGCTTTCCAGAAGCCCTCATTCAAGTTCACAAATCAAGCCCATAACAACCCCAGTTCTACCCCCCCACAGATGGGGGTGGCCGGCATCTCGTTTCAGGCAGGACCATTTGTCTTGGGCTAATCTTGGGCACGCAGTGTGGAAGGCTCAGTACGACCTGGGTCCCCCAACTGCCTCGGCTGGCAGGGGAGAGAGGCCCTTCCTCGTGCCCGAGGGAAAGGGCCCGCATTCCTGCTGGAACGCCAGAATCGTGGGTCAGCAGAGCCCGCAAGGCCCGCAAGAACAGCAAGTTCAGCTCCTCACGCCAGAGACAAAGAAGCCAAGGCTTCTAGTGTTATCTAAGCCACAGCCAGGTGAGCAGGACAGGACAGACGGTCCCCGACTTACGATGGTTCAACTTAAGATTTTTGACTTTATAATGGTGCAAAAGCGATTCACATTCAATAGGAACTGGACTTCGGATTTTGGTCCTCTCCCGGGCTAGAGCTAGCTACGCAGTAGGAGACTGCGAAGGGGCAGTGAGCGCAACTCCCGATCGGCTGTGCCACGAAGGTCAACACCCCGACTCTCCAGTGCCCTGTGTCACCGGTGTGTTTGGGATGCTGTGTGTTCACATCCCATCGTGTCTACAAAACACCCACCCGTGTCCCCTGGTCCCGGTGAGAGGAAGAGGAAGGCAAGCACTCTCGAGATGAAACTCAACCGCAGGCTACCGCATGTGCGACCACATTTAAGGCAGGTGAGGCAAAGCTGCGGTGTTGGGGAGGTCACGTTACGTATTAAATGTATTTTCAATTTATGATATTTTCAACTGACAATGGGTTTATTGGCACGTAACCCTATCGTAAGTTGAGGAGCATCTGTATTTCAAAATGATGGCTGGTGGTTTTTCATTTCCAGTGAATTATTTTTTCTCCTAAGTCCTTTTGCCACTAAAACCAGACATGAGGCTCAGGGGAGAATATGGTGCACAGAACGCAAAGGTATCCAATTCTTGGCTCGTGAAACTCATAGCAGAGACGCTGTTCTGGAAACTAAGGTTCTCTATTTGTAGACAACAGGCTTTCAGAAAACTGATTTATTTCTCAAGTTCTATAATCTTGGCTTTTAATAGCAAGAAACAAAGAGATGGAGTCCACAGCATTTGGAGCATTTGCAACTAAGTTGGGGAGGATGTGGGAAGTGAGGAACCTGTTTTCCCTCCCCACAGGAGACCAGGTCGTGTGGCTGGGGGAGGAGGGGAGAGGAACTGGGAGAGGAGAACAAAGGCAAGTCCTGGGGTCTCCTTCCAGAAGGGGCCTTCTGGCCTCTTTCCTTAGAGGAGATGATCTGAACCCTATAAAAGTTGGTGGGGGTCCCGGAAGAGAGGAGACCTGTGCCTTGGGAGAAGGGCTGTAAGCCTGCTAGATTAGCGCGGCCCTGAGTCTAGCCAGGTGAGGGAGCTGGAGGGCAGGAGGGCTGTGGGGTCTCTGATGGTCTCTGTGTGCACAAGCAGGACCCTCAGCTGTGTGTCCCCCACCTTGCTTCCCACGACTCTTGAGTCCAACAGATCTGAACTCACACATGGTTTGCCTCCTCCCCTTCCTTGTGGAGGGACTGTGGACTAGTTACTTATCTGTGCCTCAGAGTCCTCACCTGAGAAATGGGGATAATAATAGAACTTGCCTCACTGGGTACTCATGAGGTTTAAGTGGGGTGATGCATGGAAAGTCCTGCGCATGGAGCCCACCACAGAGAGACTGAACAGTGTGGTTCTTATTACCATTGCTGACAACGACACTGGCTTTGTAACCCTCCAGGAGAACCAAAGTACTACTGCATACAGGCTAATTAAAGCACGTAAGTCACCATCATCTTTCCAATAACTGCTAGTTAGAGAGGGCGCAAGGGCTTGTGGGGTTTGTAATCACACCGAGTGAGATCTCAGGATAGTTTTCTCAAGTTCACAGGCCAAAGAAAGGAAACACATCTTGTGATAATTTACTCCTCTTTGCAGAGGGAGGGCTGGGTGTAGACCCCTCTGTGAGCGGCACAAACCCAGAGAGGAGCAGTGGGTGGTCCTGAGGGACAAGACCACCATGATCTTCTAATTGTTAGACAATTTAGTGCCAGGCTACACCCCCTCTTGGAAGCCCGTGTGCACGGGTGTGTGTGTTTCTGTGTGTCCATCTCTTCCCTGCAGCCCCAGCTCTCCGAGGAGCCTAAGGCAGTGCAGAAACCGCGCACCCACAAGACCCAGCCCAGCGCACCGAGGGTGCTAACGGCACAGCCAGCGCAGCTTAGCGCTTTGGAATGTGATGCTGCCATGATGACTCTGAGCTGTCACCCCATACAGAACCCACGGGGACTACTTCTTTTCTCACTCTCAGAGAGTGTCATGTGCCTACCCAGGTGACAGTTATGAGAGGCACTGAGGTAGGGCCCTCGGGGCCGATGCTCCTGGCTGGAGACACAGCCCACTGGCCTTGGCCTCCTGCCTGAGGACTCGCAGCTGCAGGAAGGGCCCAGGCTCTGCCATCTCAGGCAGCTCTTCCCCCTGCCCCAGGCTCTCAGGCCCCACCACTCCCTCACTCTCTTCCTTCTCCAGGTTTCTCCCAAGGCTTGGTTCCTGTTTACATTCCTGCAGTCAAAAGCGCTTCAGCATCGGTTAAATTAAATTTGCTGTAACAGGCATCCCAAAAGGGTGACTTGAGCAAGTTCTTGCTCTTTTCCATGTAAAAGAATCCAGAAGCAGGAAATCCAGAGCTGGCCTGGTATCTCCACTAACTTGTCATGAACCCAGGGTGCTCCCAGTTCACCATCCTGCCATCCCCTGGGTGTGGCCTGCCTTGGCCTCTGGGTCCAGGATAGAGCTAGAACTCCAGCCAAACAGCCTCCTTCAGGCGGCAATAAAGATGGAGGGAAGGAGGCGGGCACCCCCCTTCTGTAAGGTGACTTCTGGAACACTCAATACACTTCAGCTTCATCTCATTGGCCAGAACTTAGTGTAGGAAGGCTGGGGAATGTAGAATTGTGTCTGAATGGCAAAGTGTTCAGGTGACTTAGAAATTTTGTCATTAAAGAGGGAGGTGGGGAGACGGATATTGGGAAGCAGCAAACAGCACCTGCCTGATGTAAACTTTTCATTTTGGCAACAAAGGAAACTGTACAGATCTCCTCATGACCCTCACGGCACCCCCTCT